GATGCATTAGCTCCTTTGCTATGATATAATGCCCTTCTTTGTCTCTTCATACTGTTTTTGTTTTAATGCCTATTTTTTCTGAAGTCAATATAGTGACTCCTGCTCTTTTTCAGTTTTCATTTGCATGGAATACCTTTTTCTAGCCCTTTACCTTTAAGCTATGTATGTCTTTATCCATGATATGGGTTTATTGTAGGTAGTAGAGAGTGGGTTTCTGAGTTTTTATTTTTTCAGCTAGTCTGTGACTTTCGATCAGGGAATTTAATCTATTAACTTTCAACATTATTATCGATATTTCCAGACTTGTTCCTACCATTGAATTGGCCATATTTTTTGTTGTTTTTTTTATTCTCTTATTACTGTCCGTCTATCTTTAGTTTTCTTAGTATAGTACTCCTTTCAGAATTTCTTGACAAGCTGGTCTAGAGTTGGTCAATTCTTTCAATTTTTGTTTATCCGAGAACGTTTTTATCTTTTTTTCCTCATATGAAAGATGATCTTGCTGGGTATAGTATTCTTGGTTGAAATTGTTTCTCATTTAACACTTCGAATATATTTCTCCATTTTTCCCTTGCTTAGATTGTATTCAATGAGAGGTCCATTATTAACCTGATGTGAAAATCTTTGTAAGTGACTTGACGTTTCCCTTTTGCCAATTTTAGTATCTTTGTGGTTTTAGCCAATCTGGCTAAGATGTGCTGTGGTGAAGGTCTTGGGTTGATTCTATTTGAGGTTCTTTGTATTTCTTGGGTCTGAATGTTTGAGTGCTTCTCTAGACATGGAAAGTGTTCTTTCTGGATTTCATGGAATAGATTATCAATGCCCTTATTAGTTTCTTCATCTTCCAGGATACCAATAATTCAAGTGTTTGGACATTTCATGGTATCTAGTATTTCTTGTATATTATCTTCATTTTTTCTTGTATTTTTCTCATTTTTTTGATAATTTTTTGTAGATCAGAAGTTTTGTCTTCTATATCTGAGATTCAATTTTCTACATGATCTAACCCAGTTTTAATACTTTTGAGGGAAGTTTTGATTTCCTGTATTACAACCTTCATATCTAACAGTTCTATTTGATACTTTTTTATGGTGTCCAATTTTTCTTTCTTATTGTGGAATGACTTCCTCATCTCTTAGAGCTCATTCTCTCTTTTCTCTTGCATCTCATAACACTTTGTCACCATTAATATTCTAAATTCTTTTTCGGACCTTTCGGTAATATCCTCTAATTTTCCCTACTTGGAGACAAGTCATTGTGTTCCCTAGCTGGAGATGTATTGATTTTTTCATCCTTGAGGCTTTTCTCTGATTTTTAGTCATTTGGTAATGTATTCACTTTTGACTAATTTCTTGGAGAAGGATTCTGTAACTGTGAGCTTGTGTGTTTCCTTTTGATGTGAAATAATTTGATATTATTTTCTCCCTTCTACTCTGTCTTCCACTGTGGTAACAACAGGAGGAATTTTGAAATCACATTCAGGAAGAAGAATTTCTATCTTTTTACAGCCAGTTCAATTAAGGGAAAAGAATTCTCTGAGTTTCACAGCGTTCAGATGTTTGTCTACTATGCACCTAGACCTCTCTAGGCAGTGGGTAAAGGCCAAGCAGTAAAATGAGAAAGTAAGTTTAAAGAAAAAAGAAAGTAGACAAGACCAGCATTTGGCATAATGACTATGTAGCTGGACTCCCATGTAGTTGACCACAGTTCGAGTCCTAGACCCAGTGGCTTAAAGTCACGTCAGGCGCGTGTGCATGCATGCCCAAGATCTCGAGAAGATAATGGAGGAGAAGGGATTGTGGTGTCGCCATCCCCCCTGGGGAGTGATTTCTTGTTTTCTTCCTCTGTCTCTGTATTTGTCTTTATGGCGAGTGCACACACCCTATAGAAAAAAAACTATGCCGCCCCCTCCCCCCCCAAAAAAAAAGAGAGGAAGAAAGTAGAAAACAGAAATAGGAAGAAAAAGCAAAGAAATGTGAATAAAAAGACAAAACAAAAAGTACAGAAAAAGGCAGAAAACACGCCACAGAAAATAAAATTAAGGTAAAAATGAAAACCGTGTGGCATAGCAGAGGCAGAGATGGAGATACCTGCAAGTATTCTGTCCTTACTAGCACTAAGGTCTGGAAGGGGGAAAGGCTGGTTGAGGACTTCAAATCAGTGAAGCTGGACCCTGGAAAGGGCAGTAGAGGCAGAGATGTAGATTCCTGCAGGTGTTCTGTCCTTACTAGCACTAGGGTTGGGGAGGTGGAGTGACTTGGGTGGGGACTTCACAGCAGTGAAGCTGGACTTGAGAAAGGGCACCAGAGGCATAGATGGAGATGTCTGCAAGTCCTGCAAGTATTCTGTCCTATAAGAGAGAAGGAGAGACTAATTAACAAGAGAAAGGCACAGGGAAATAAAACTTTTTATTTATTTATTTATTTTTAGTTAGAAAAGAGAAAAGAACAGGATAGAGATTTTGCCTACCTTACTAGCATTAGGGTCTAGAAGAGGGACAGCCCTGGCTGGGGGCTTTACAGCATTGAAGGTGGACCCAGAAAAGGGCAGCAGAGGCAGAGATGGAGATGCCTGCAAGTATTCTGTACTTACTAGTGCTAGGGTCTGGAAGGGGGTGGGGGGCTGGCTGGGTTCTTCACAACAGTGAAAAAGACCCAGGAAAGGGCTTCAGAGACAGATATGGACAAACTTTGTTCTTGACCAGTCCACTTTTGCTTTGACTGGACCAATTCCATCTTTTAGTAGCCATTGCTTTGATTATGCTTTGTCTTCAGGATCATACTGATAAAGCCATGTGTCGTCTCCTGTTATAATTCTCTAGAGAAATACTTCAAGATCTTGATCTTGTTTTAAATTTCTATTGAATGCTCTGCTCTTCTGTGCAGCTGACCTTGGCACAACAGTTTTGGCACCCATCAAGTAGAAAGTTTCCTCAACCTTTGTTTTTTCAGTTGTAATTGTGTAAGCTGAACCAGCTGGCATATACACAGAATTGGCTATTGCTTCTCCTGTTAACCCATTGGTCATCTTGAATTGAGGCATGAAAAGCATTATTTTTTTCTTCTGAAATTGATGTGGATGGTCTGTAGATATAATCTATCTTCAGCACTGTATCTCCCTTCTTAAAATTAGTTATTCATTTGTAAAATGCTGATTTCATTGGGACACTGTCCCTGTAAACATTTTGTAAAGCATAAATTCTTTCACCATTCTTCCACCTGAGCTTCACACAAATTTGATATTTGTTCTTGATTCAATTTTAGCAGAATTCATGTTGCTCTGTCAGGTGCACTTTAAAAATGATATCTAATCTCTAGCAGTGCCTAAATTAGATTCTTTTTTAAAATAATTTTTAATATTTTTATTTTTTTCTTTTGTCCTAAATTAGATTCTATCTAGACATGTTATGTCAATTTAGTATGAGTTTGAGTGCCAAAAAACCCTGAAATTCATGTGCAGTTTATCATAATATTCATTTTCTATGAATTATTTGAAGACCATTCATATATACATATGTGATATGTGTGTGTTTGTGCCTATGCATTTAAGTTATTTTTAGAAACCCTTCTCTCCATCTACCACTCCATCTCTCCTACGATCACTACTAACATTCTCAACACAGTAGCTTCTACCAGCTGCACCTCCAAATTCACTATGACTTATTTGGTAAAATGGGATGGATCATCATTGACCTCCAAATCACAAAAGCCAAAGACTTTTTCATTCACACTCATCCTCCTCAACATCTCTGTAGCTGTTGACCATGTTGACCTTTCCTTCCTTCCCCAAATTCTTTTAACCACTGCTATCAAGAACTTTACTTTCTTTGAGTTCTCCTATGACCTCTCTGAATGACCTTTCTCAAGTATCTATTTCTCCTTTTGATTCTGTCAATTTGTAATTTATGTATTTTGGGACTATATTGTTAGCAACGTATCTGTTTATAACTAAAGTGTGTTCTTGATAAATTGACCTATTGATAATTATGAAATGCTTATCTTTGGCTCTAGTAACAATATTTGTCTTAAAGTCTATTTTGATGGATATCAGTATAGCCACTCCACCTCAGTGTTGGTTACTGTCACCATGGTATTTTCTTTCCATCATTTTATTATCAAAACATTTTTTTGAGAAATTTTTTGCTATAGGATGTGTGTGTTTGCCAGAAACACAGAGAGATATAGAGACGGAAAGTGAAAAATCACCCCCTTGGAGGATGGCCATGCCACAGTCCCTTCTCCTCCTAGGATCTTGGGCATGCATGCACACACACCTGGCATAAGTTTGAAGCCACTGGTCTGGGACTCAAACTGCAGTCAGCCACATGGGAGTCCAACAACATAACTGTTATGCCACCTGCTGGCCCCTGTCAAAATATTTTTGTCTTTGAATCCTAAGTATGCATGTCACATAACTAGATTATGTGTTTTTAATTTCCTTTGCCAATTTCTTCCTTAAACTTTAATTTCTAATAAGGTAAGATTTATGCCAGTCTATACTCTGCCTTAGACTTTAACTTCTAATAAGGTAAGATTTATGCCAGTCTATAGGATATTTGTGCGTGTGTGTGTGTGTGTGTGTGTGTGTGTGTATATGTATGTATGTGTGTGAGTGTGTGTGTGTGTATACCTGACTATTGGATGTATATACATCTTAGTCTTTTCTATTTATCTATTCTTTCATTACTACTATCTTTGAAGTTAAATAGATCATTTTAGTGTACTATGTAATTCTTTTACTACATATTTTTATTTTCTTGATGATGGTTGCTCTGGAGATTATCATGAATTCTTGATTTATAATCTAGTTTGAATTTATGCCAGCTTGACTTTAATAGTATACATAAATCTTATGTTTATATAGCCTCTTTTGAGGGATATGCTGATACAGGTCCAAATACGGACCTTGACTTGCCTTTACTTACTTCATAATTTCCCTGGGACATTCAACTGTTCATGTAAGGATAATAGATCCTTTACTAGGCTCCATTTTTCTTGCAGATTTCTCAAAGCCACCCAACATCAAGACTGAGGTACCTACAACTATGCAATCTCCCTTGGAAGGTAAGTTTTACTAGGATTCTTTGAGAGTAAGAGAAATCTGAAATAGTTGCATGGAAGTCAAGGGAAGGAAAGAGCTCCAGTGTCATTGGATAGAGACTAGGGCCCACTGGATTCCATAAAAAGAACATGTCAGTAAAATAATGGGGAAAAAAAGAGAAAGATAGAAATGTGCTAAGGGTAGTTAAGAAGTGGAATCATGAATATATAAACTCTTCTTTGTGAACATTTCTTTATTTTTTATTATTTATTTATTTATTATCATCATAATCTTGTTTATATTACACTGAATTGCATACAATTTTAGAGTGCATTACATTTCTTTTTCCAGAGGGATTGCCATGCATATCAGTCAATACAGAGACATTAAAATTCCCACTTCATAATTCAATATCTTTTCATTGTTCTTCCCAATCATTATTATTATTATTTCAGTTTTTTAAACCAATCAATCACTATTTTTCATTTTGCTTGTAAAAAGACTTTACCCAACATGAAATACTTCTTAGACCAATCCAGTTGAGAATACTATACACGTCATCATCAACAGGTAATAAACCATATCTGTGCCTTACAAATGTCATGCCTCTCTATTTGTTCTCTTGCTATCTTTCTCTATACTCTTCTTCCCCTCCACCATTCCACACTGTCTTATCCTCGTTAAATATTTTCACTGCTTTTATGTCCTCCAATATTTCACTCTCTACCGTAGAGTGCAGATAGTTGGAATATATTAAGTGGATACATACAGTATCTTTCTTTCATAACCTGGCTTACTTCACTAAGCAATATATCCTCCATATGTGACCACTTTCTATCAAATGCCAGGGTCTTGTTATTTTTTATGGCTGAGTAATATTCCATATAGGATATGTGCCACACTTTTTCCATCCATTCATTAGTTTCTGGACATTTAGGTTGGTTCCATGTCCTGGTAATCATGAATAATGCTGCAATAAACAAAATAATTGATGTACAAGCATTTTCCGAATGAGTGTTCTCCTGTCTTTTGGGTAGATACCCAGAAGTGGGATTGTTGTATCAAATTGTAGTTCTATCTGTAGATCTTTGAGGAATTTTTATATTGTTCTCCACAGTGGCTGAACCAGTTTACATTCCCACCAACGTGTAGGAGAATTCTCTTTTCACCGCATCCCCACCAACACTTATCACTTTTTTCCTTTTATTTTTTTTCATTTCACTTTTTTCCATACATTCGATCACACTATTATTTGTCTTACAAAATGGATATTTCAACAGGTGAGCATTTCTCCCTAGTACTGTTGATAAAACTAGGAAATATCTTCAACAGATAATACCACATCTCTTTGTTCCATTAATGCTTTGCCTCCCTGTCCCTCCCCCAAATGTCCTTCCTCACTTTTTATATTCTTAATCTTTGCCATTCTGACAGGGGTTAGGTGGTATCTCATTGTGTTTTTATCTACATCTCCCTTATGATGAGGGATGTTGAGCATTTCCTCATATGCTTTTTGGCTGTTTATATGTCTTCCTTAGAGAGATTTTTGTTCAGCTCATTTTCTCATCTTTTAATTGGGTTAATCATTTTTTCTTGCATAAGGCACTTGAGTTCCAAGTGTATTCTGGTTATCATTCCATTGTCTGAGGCATATTTTACAAAAATATTTTCCCATTCTGAGGGATATTGATACACACTTGTTACTGTGTCCTTTGCTGTGCAGAAAATTCTTAGTCTGATATAGTCCCACTTGTATATTTTAGGGATTATTTCCTGTGCTTTGGGAGTCTTATTTAAGAAGTATTTACCTACTCCAATGTCTCCCAGAGTTTCTCCAGCATTTTCCACCAGTAGTTTTATTGTTTGAGGTCTTAGGTTCAGATCTTGATCCATTTTGAGTTGATTTTTGTTAATGGAGAAATATGGGGGTTTAGTTTCATCTTTCTGCAGGTGGATACCCAGTTTTTCCAGCACCATTTACTAAAGAGGTTTTCCTTTTCCCAATGGTTTGATTGATACCCTTTGTCAAAAATCAGTTGGCTGTAAGCTTTGGGGGTTATTTCTGGGGTCTCTATTCTAGTCCATTGGACCATAAGTCTCTTTTTGTGCCAATACCATGCTGTTTTGATGACCACAGCTTTATAGTATATCTTGAAATCAGGGAGTGATATACCTCCTATTCCATTCTTCTTGCACAGAATTGCTTTTGCAATATATATATATATATATATATATATATATATATATATATATATATATATTT